GGCCCATCAATCCAACCTGTCCAGATCCCTCTGTAGAGCCTTCCTACCCTCAAGCAGAGTGACACTCCTGCCCAACTTGCAGTCTGCAAACTGACTGAGGGTGCTTTCAACCCCCTTGTTCAGGTTGTTGATAAAGATATTAAAGAGAACTGGCCCCAGTACCGAGCCCTGGGGAACACCACTTGTGACCAGCGGCCAACTGGATTTAACTCCATTCACCACCACTCTTTGGGCCTGGCCATCCAGGTAGTTTTTTACCCAGTGGAGAGTACACCCATCCAAGCCATTTGGATTAAGGGGATCCAAGAATAGCACCATCACTCAGGAAAGGGACTGGTCTCACCCAGGTGGCCTAGCACGCTCTTGACCATAACAGAAGCATCAACATCCATAAGTGAAACTGTAGTTGTATCTGATCAGCAGAAACAAATATCCTTCTGAAAACTGGAAAGAAACAAAGCCCAATGTGTATTGCTAAAAAAGGAGGCAGAGGGAAAGACTAGTATTCTTTCCTCCAAAGTATCTTGAAAAATACATCCATTGGCTTTTCTTTATGGCAACCCTGTGTGCTTTCTCTGCTCTCCCAGAATCCACTTCTGTTATCCTTAAACTTCTGTAGAGCCTAAGGGTATAACAACAACCACTATAAAAATCAAACCACCACCTCAATTTAAGGACCTCCCCGCCTCTATAGAGAAGACAATCTCTCCGAGTGAGCTAATAACCACCCTCTGCTGAAGAGTACAGCCCACTCAAGCAGCTAAAGCTGGGGCTTCTTCATAACCTTGCAACATTAAGCCTCATCTCCACATCTGCATTGCTGCACTGTACAGCGATGGGAGCAGATACTCCACACTTCTCATGCTTCCGACAACCCCAACACAGCCACAAGCTAAAGCAACGCACCCACAGTTATCCTTAGTGGTGAATGTAATGATAGTGCTGTGGCAGAAGGGGCAGGTTTGGCTTTTAAGGTGGCCCTTTCCTTCCTCAGCCCTAAGCGAGAGCCGAGGATGAGGCTGCAAGCAGGGGAAGGACACAGAGATGACCCACTGCACCAACTCCTTCCCAAGGGCAGATATATAGGAAAGGCGGAGGTGGATTTCGGATAGAGTTCCTAATTTGCCCTTTCTGCTGGAGCACAAGTTCACAGCCACAGCTGGTGTTGCTAGCTTCAATAATTTGTAGTGGTATAATCAAATTATTATTTTTGTAATGGTAAGAGTTCTGCTTTTATCCAGGATTATACAATCTGAAGCCTTAGACGGCCCATGCAGGCTGGCCACTTAAAATCAATTCTCTACAGCAGCCGCTCAGCAGCAGTTTATTTTCCCACCACTGGTTCACACAACATGGGGGCGAGATACCCAAGGCAAAGTATTCACATAATGCAGCTGCTGAATCACAGAAATACCTGTACTCCAAGACCATTAACTAATGCTCTGCAACCATCTGTGTTCTATACTACAACACGTAATTGAAGCTTTGGTCTCAACTGCAAGCCCCAAGTTTATCGCTGGGCGTTGTGAATTGGTAGGGATAGGAGAAGGGGAAGGGATGAACAAGGAAACCCTCTCTAGATCCTCCACAGCATAAGCTCTCTAATACCACAGTGGACTGGATTCATATCCAACCACCACCTTCCAGTCCTGAATTCTTAGTATTTTCTTGTGCAAGGTATTTTGAGAGATATTTGTCTTCCAAATTACACCATCACTTAAACTGAATCTGGTGACTCTCTGCAGGACATTCTTGTATTATATAGTTACATTCACTGACTATTGTACTTTTACTTACCTTGTGCATTGCTGAAATCAAAACAGAAACATAAGTGTAGCCATGTGGAAGCTGCTTCAATTAAAATGCCACTCTGCATAAGTGCATGTATCATGTTAAGTGACCTATGCTTTCTCTCACCTCCATAAACACTATTATCAACTCAGATTTGGAAAAAGACCTTTACCACATGGGAAAAGGGGTAGTGAAGCAAGGCCCCAGCTACCCACTCTTAAACTCAGATGGTTTTGCCCAATTCACTTTGCCACTCAGCAAATGGGTGCTCAGATCAGAGCAGCTCATCCAGTTACAGCTGGACAACAGGACCTGAGAACGGACACCTACCAAAGGTATTACTAAGTTCTGTATCTTATGTACCACAGGCGTTTTGCAGGGTTTGAGAAACAGATTGTCTCTAATTAAACCTGGACTTCCATGTAATAAACATCATGGCGATCTGGCTGTGCTGGCTTGACAAGCTGCCATTTTGGTATTCACTATGAGGAGGTTTCAGCCCTCATCTCCAGCCTCCATGTTCATAACATTTAAAACGACAAATAGCGGAAATTCCCCCAATCTGTCTCTGCATTATTTTTGCCTTTTCTTCCACCTATACGGAAAATGGCTCAGTCATGGGAAAAGTTATTGTAAGCAGCTATTAAATCATTCTTATAGTAAAATGTAGGTTTTGATTCACTATATGAATCTTCAAAATATTCTTTTTTTTTTATTCAGTATAAATTCAGTTAAATTCTTCTAAGAGAGGGGAAAAATATATTTGGTCCTTGAAGAAATTGTGAAAAATTACTGCAGTGAGAAAGAAGGAACTTTACGTATCACCTGCTGACTTTCACTTCCCCCTCTTACAGAAGCGTAAGACTTCCCTACTCAGAAGACCACCTTAGGAAGCTGGTTCATGTAGCCAAATATGTCAAAACAGCAATAAAATACAAAGGGATCTTCAAAGCATAATTATAAAAATAGAAGACACAAGCTTCATAAGAAAGTTTTGCTGAAGAAAAATGCTTTACTTTTTAAAATTGCTTTCTCTATTTTTTTCCCCAACAGTAGATTTAATGAAGCTTACAAGATTTTTCAATTGTGCATACCATTTTCAGAGATAGAAGTAAATATAAACTCACCACTTTCAGTTCTGGTACAGATCGGCTTAGTGTCCATTCCTGGCTATTTACAAAGGCATCTGTAAAAGTGGACAACATTCACAAAATCAATACAATGACATTTAATGGTCTGCCACACAGAATTTCATGCTAAGGCTTTGCGTACATGAGACCAAAAGTCACACTCAATCTTACAAGACTGACAGTCCAACATGAAAAACATTAGGACCTTGGATAAATTATATATAAACAAAAAAAAACAAAACCCAAGAATACCAGAAATTAATGTTCTGCAGAATGGATGTGCTCTCTGCAGCGAGTCTCACTGTATCATCTCCACTGGCATTAGCGAGCTCAAACTACCTCCAGTCCTTCTGGGCTGTGAAAAGATTTCCAGTCTGTAGACAGATAAACTGCTTCCCATCCACCACAATACATTTCTTCTCTACAAGAAAAGCCTTGGACTGCTCATCAGGCTAAATCTAACAACTGCAGTTGCCACCATCAGCAGTAACTTCTCCACCCAGGTAAACAAGAATATTTGCCTGTTCTAAACACGTGCTATTTTTTACTGCACATCATACTTAATGTCAATAACTGCAACTACTAGCATCAGTGGTAACAACCCTGCACAGGTAAGGGAGAATATCTGTTTATTCTAGAAACACGCTATTTTTCAGTAGCACAATCCAGACAGAAATAAACCACAGAGCCATTTGCTACGAAATCAAATAAAAAATACTGGGGACAGAAGGGGGTTGATTTCTGGAAAACGAGTGAGTTAAGTTCACCATTGCTCTCAACAGAAATGAAGTCCTCAGGGCTACACCCAGGTCCAACCTCATTGACAATTCCACACCAAAAAAACACACAACCGAAACCCAGAAATAAGGCTCCATTTTTCTACCTCCAAAAACATTTATCATTTTGTTCCTTCTGTAAAGATCTAGTCAACTGAAAGCAAACAGATAATGACGTTTCCATTACAAATCCAAGCAGAATTACTCCAAATCCTGATTTATCCCTCTACAAAACCATACAAACCAGACAGATGAATGACTGGGTGTTGCATGCACAGAATGCTCCTACCAAGCAGATCAGATGCAACTCCACAGTAATTAAACAGCACCGAAGAAGTTTCAGTGTTACAATCAATTCCTAACATTATAGAAAATAACAGGTGAAAAGCTACACCTGACCACATTGCCCATAAGCAAGCAAAGGTTTTGCAAGCCATTGCTTCCCCTCCAATCTACCAGTCATGAAAAGGAGAAGGCTATTTCCTTTTATCTTTTGATCCAGAGAATAAATAAGTCAGAACCAACTTCCTACCCCAGATGGTACCCTCACTAACTTAGAAACCATTAGCTGTAAGCACACTTTCCCAGTGCCTAACTAAAAGCAATCTCAAAGCAAACTTGTATTTTGCATTGCATCTTTTTTCCCCACTAAATATATTATTTTTGCTCAATATTACAAAAAGGCATATCAGCCATGAATTTGGAAGCCTTCTCCATTTTTATTTAACACCACTTCTATTTCAGCTACAAATAGAAGTTTGTGTGTATTAGTGGGATATGCATATTGCTATGAACACACTTTGAAAACAGTAAGCATTTTGGTATATTAAAAATCCTGAGCTGCCTCCCACTCACTCACTGGAAGGAGAAGGAAAAACAAAGCCTCAGATTAAGATGCTCTGAAGACTTGGGTTAACCTTTTGGTGTTCTACCAGCAAGAGATGACATTATGGTCAGTAGGCTCCTGTTGCACGATCTGAAAAAGTCCAACTTGATCAAAACCTGAAGTCCCAGGTTTATGTCTATATTGCACAGGGCTGTTCACCAGTTAAAACTAAGTATCTTGTGTTAGTCAGGCCTGACCATGAAGCAGCACACAAATAATTTTTCCACAACCCAAAGCTTGTCAATTCTGGTTTACCTAGTAAAGGTTTAAGCAAGCAAATACTGCTTAAGTACTTTTCTTTTTTCTCCATGACCATATCAGCATTTCTTAGCATAGAAGAAAATCCAAGGATTACTAAACATGCTGGGGAAAAGCAAACTACACATTTTAGAGCTAGACATTTGATTTCAATTAACAGTTCACAATGACTTGAAGCACTATGAAATAGTGAAAATGAACAGCACCTTCTAGTTACCACCTCATCCTTAGCTCAGAAAGCAGTTTATGTTGAAGTAGCAGGCAAGCATTTGTCTAATACCATCACAGTCCCAAACCAGACAAAGGCTCCAAACCAAGAAAGGGAAAGATGAGGACAGAGAGGATGGCAAGGGATGAACTGTGTTTTGAGAGTCCAGGTGAAGAGAAAAAAAAAAATAAAAAATCCATGTCTCATGAGCTGTTGCAGTCCTCTTCTCCAAAAACAGTCTTCCTTTTTAAGTAATTCAGCACAACTGGAATATGTATTATTTACGGCATTTCTTAGAAACTACCACATCAGCATACAAAAAGGCTGCACCAGGTTAGGCCAAAGATTCAGCTATGGCAGTATCCTTTTACTACAGCAGAGACTAGTAGATGATACTTAGTAAAGAACAGGAGACACTTGCAGAAGAATATATTTTCCCCTTAGACCAAAAGCAATTGAGTTGAATGACTTCCTGAGCCAACTGAAATGGGCAGGGGCACAGGATTCACCCAGGGTAGATACACCTGACCTGAGCAGTCACTGCCTGATTTTCTTGCCTCCAGCGAGAAGACAATCTGGAACCCAGGAATGCATGAAAACACAAGTCTCAGACCAGAGGAGTCAGGAAGATCTTTCTGTAGCTTGCCCAGCTGAAAATAACTTGAAATGCAGACAAAGCAGCAGCAATTTCAATTCAGGAACACCGCACAGGAGACCTGCTCTAGGAGCATTATGATTAAGGCGCTCAAAAGGGACCACAACTTGGTATAGATGTTTTCCTACCTTTCTGTGGGATGGAACATCATCCCTTACAGTGAGCAACGAAAGGTATTAGATCACAACAGTGTGGCTACGAGTGCCCAAACTGAGCTGAAAAGCAGTGCCTTTCTTTCTAGTGTCTGCTGTGTGTTTCAGATTTGGTATGAAAGGAGTATCAATAACACATATTGTTTTAGTTGTTACTAGGTGATCTTTACACTTTTTTCATCTTCCCATAGAAGCTGTGGAGGAACACAGACAGACCAATGGAATGGCCAATGGAATATTCCATACAATAGACGTCATGCTCAGTATATAAATGGGGGTTGGCCAGGGGCAGGGGAGGAATCTACAATCACTGCTTGGGACAGGGTGGGCAACCAGTTCAACAGGTGGTGAGAGGGACTTGTGTTGGATTACTTTATCTTGTATATTTTTTT